TTGGTTCTTATTTCAGGCTGTTGTAAACAGAGATGGTACAGTCAATTATCTAGAGTTCTTGGAAAAGCTTCATATAAGGGGAGGAACACCTGAAGGAATGAAATGGCTTGGTGGTTTGCATAGGTAACAGAAGTTTTAAACTAAAAAGCAATACAATTTGAGTTCGCCAATGAAAATTACAGTAGATATGTATTGTTGCTCACATACAACCTGGAAAGAATGAATGGCAAATTTACAAAGGGATCCCTGACCTGAATATCCTGGTTCCTGCAGTTCTACATTGTGTATATATCTGAGCATATCACCTGTTGACATGATTTCATATTGCCTGCATAGTTGTGATTGCTACTATTGCCATGAAATGTGATGTTGACTTTAAAACAAGTTTTATTCTATCAATGTTTAGGTTTAATCAAACTAAAACAGCAGAAAGGCAGCCTTTTGATGAAGTTGAGAGCAAAGTCAAAGCCAAGGTATTACTCTTTGCTGTAATGATAAAAAATTATACAATCATGTATTATCTTAAATAGTGAAAAATTTAATAATTGCTCCGGGCATAAAGTGCAGAAAAAGTTCCAGTAACGAAATAATTGTGATTATTTTCAACTTTTAGATAACTGGTCAACTGCAAAGTGTTCTAAAAGCTCTAAGACTATTTGACTATAACAGAGATGAGCAGATACAAAGACATGAGCTAAGAAGGGTTCTTGAAAACTTTTGCTTTAAATTGTCAGATGATCAGTTTGATAGGTAAGGTTTACTGTCACCATAAGCAGTATTTTTTTATCGATTGTTTTAGATGATAATTTTAATGTTTATACAATGATTATTGTTTGTTATTAAATATTTGTGGGTTCTTTTCTCCCTCCATTCTTCCTTCTGTTCCTCCTTCCTTTTGTCCTTCTTTCCTTCCTTTGTTTGTTCCCTTGTTTGTTCCCTTGTTTCTTCCCTAGTTTGTTCCTTATATATGGAAATCCTGCTCTTCCCTTTTCTCTTTTCTCCTCTATCTCCTTCCTTCCCTTCCTCCCATAATTTCTCTCTCCCTTCCTTCATGCATGGACTCATYAAGCTCTGTTTCTTGTTAAATAGAAACACATTCACAAATAAAATACTTAAAAAAATCAATTCTATAACTTTTCAGGCTATGGTGTAAATAYGATATGACACGAAATGGCAACACTCTAAACTACATGGATTTTCTAAAACGACTTGGTGTAGATACTCAGAAGAAGGCAAACCACCAATCATCGAACAAAAATGAGCAAGGTAGGTGCATCAGTCCAACTATTCAAACCATGGTTCCCTCAGACTTAGCATTGACAATGTCACTTTAAATTGTACCTGATGTTRGTTTATTTGAATATTGTGAACATTTGATTGGACATGCTTTCTTCCAACTAAAAATAGTTATTATTTTGTCTAATGTTTTAATCTTAATATGTTTTATTTTTATTTATTAATTATCAAGGCAAAGAAAATACTCAAAGAAGAGTCAGATTAGTGGCAACCAATAAGAGACCTCATTCTAGTGGAAGTAGTMGAGAGGGGTCACCTAAACCAACACAATCTGCACCCTCTATAAAAGACTTAGAAATGAGACTTAGGAAAAGGGTGAGTTTCATTATCTGGATTTCTTTTCACATCTTGATCCACCAAAATGACTTGTAATAATCTCTAAATCTTGATGGTAATTGTGCAAAGCCTGATTAGCATTAATCAAGGGTTAACTTATTGCAAGTTCAACGCATAATTAATAGTGCTAATTGAGATTTGAACGACCTGGCCCTGTGAACTGAACCCATGCTTGCAGACACAAAGTCCTATGCCTTAACCACTAGGCCATAATCTTGTGGATTATGGATCTTATAATACATATGATATATAAAACATTTATATTATAATTGCTATTATATTCTCTACAGATGATTGACAACTATCCTAATATAATGAGGGCATTTGTGGCCTTTGACAGACGTGGTGATGGCTTTGTTACCCTAAGTGAATTAAAGCGAGTTCTTACTCACTTTGTCTTTCCTATGACTGATGGMCTGTTTGATATATTGATGGAAAGGTAAACAAATACTTCATTGCATTTGAATTTACTCTGTCTGTAATGTACTATTCAATTAAATTTGCAACATTCTTCTTAGGTGTGGTATTAAGGCTAGTCACAAGATTGGCTATGAGCAGTTTCTAAACAAGTTCCAAGAACCAAATACTGATAGACATGGGCAAACCCTCCCTCTTGGATCAAATCATAAGTAAGTAATACTTTATTATTGATTTACTATTATCCAGCGCCAAAAAGTCTTTTTTTACTTATCTTACATGCATTTACAGTATTTGTTAATCTTAACTACATTGTTTGACAGGTTTAATCCAATTCGTGAGGCTGAAATTCATCCCACCACTGAAGATATTTGGAAATTTCTATTCTCTAAAGTGACTGAAAGCTTTCCTTCAATCAAGCAGGCTTTCCTTGTTTTCGATGATGTAAGCATAAATTAAATAATATTATTTTCTGTTGTGACTGGTTTTTATGTTTTGGTGCATAGATGTTGGCGATGGTCTTGTTTGGAAGTGGTGGATTGCTGATTACATGCCATGCCTAGTGCCTGGGATAATCTAGTTGAAATCCTTGCAGCTGTGTTAAGTTACATCTCGCAACTCTCCTTYGCCAAACACAGAATGTGCATTGTAGCATGACTAAAACTTACAAAAGGCTGTTAGGAGACTAGGGATGGTGGCTGTGAGAAAACTAGAGATGGTCATAAAAATTGTAGAATGACCTATTTAAAGATTAATAGTCCTTTAATATTTCATTAATAGTAAGTACAGATATATATTTGATTGCATGTTATATCATTTGGCTATCATTTTTCACTTGTAGAACAAAGATGGTCGTGTCACTAAGAGAGACTTCAGAAGAATTCTAGAAAGYTTCTGYTTYMGRATGACTGAAGAACAGTTCCATGAGCTTATGGCCAAAATCGACCCTCGCAATAAAGGCTATGTTTCTTATCTGGAATTTCTGGATAGATTTGAGAACAGGGAAACAGAGGTACAAGCTGATTTATTCCCTTGATTGATGTACAATAAGTTTTGATTAAGAAATATATATTGATGATATATTTGTATGCGTTTATAAAGGAGGGACATCCATGGCTTAACAGTGATCATTCTCCGAAGAGTGTATCTCCTCCAGCTATTCTTGCTTGGTCAACTGTAAGTTTTATTTAATATTTATATTAAAGGCATAACCTATCAGCCATCTATCATAGATTGTGCCTAGTATTTAGAAATTATTTCACTGACATCATTTAAGCACTGCTCTTTGTTTATATTGTTATCCTTATGATTATGCCAGGTGGAAGACATCCTTCGATCCAAAATCATGGATAATTGGAAGACCATTGCCAATGCCTATATCAGTATTGATGAAAATAGAGATGGGTCAATTTCAAGAAATGAGCTGAGGAGACTATTGGAGAAATACTGCCTCCCCCTGTCTGATGACCACTATGAGATGTAAGYACACCAGAATTACGATGAAAATACCACAAAACTAACTACACTGTTATAAAATTGTGGTTATTAATATAAATTAATAAATTTTGTATTTAAGGCTTTGGAGTCGCTGTGATCTAAATGATGACAATTCAGTAGATTTTCAAGAGTTCCTTTCTAAATTGGTAAGGAAAAAAATGAATTAATAGTTCATTTTATTCATCCATTCATTTCCTATATCCTTTTCTCATTTAGACATGGATCTACCTATTTCTTCTTTGATCTATCCAGTCACCTGTTCATTTTATGCATTTATAAATGCTTTTTTCATGTTCTCATATTAGTACATATTATGTTCTCTTGTCAAACAATCTAACAATCAATTATATTAACGAGAAAAACAATAAATCATTTAGTCGACCAATCAGACATCAATTATCCAAACAAACAACAATCATGTCATCTGTTCATCCATTCCCAGGGTGTTGATATCATCAGTGGTGACATCAATGGTGTCAGTACTCGTATCCATGATGAGAGTGAGGCTAAGGCTAACTTTATGAAACATGACCAATACCACCGACAAGAGGCTGCTTATGATAGAGCCCTTGATCTGACCAATCAAAAGTCAGCAGACCATTGTATGGAGATACTTAAGGTGAACACAAATAATTTTGTATGCGAAAATGGAAAAAAAAGATTTATGTTATAATCATAATAATATAAAAATAGTGGGAGAACAAGTTTAGTGAGGGCAGCATCATACCACTGCATTTTACATTTTGATGAAGATGGGTATTTTATTGACAGCTYTCTGATAAGTGCTCAAAAGATACAATATACATATCAAAATAGTAACCCAAACTTAATTATGATTTTTAATTTTGCAGGAGCATATATCGCAAAGATCCCCAGACATCAGAAAAACATTTGTCAAATTTGATGCTGATGGGGATGGGAAAATATCAAGAAAGGAATTTCGTTTGGTAAGTGTGTTACTATTACATTTATGACGAGGGTCGATCACATTGAGATCCATTGTGCTTTAGTGAGACAACAGAGAAAGAATTGATGGATTATGTTATAAAACTCATTAATGTTCATAAGGCAAAACACAATAGAAATCATAGCCCATGAAGAGAGTTGTATATTACATACAGATTTCTTGTTCATTTGCATAAACTTTAACTCTGATTTTCTTGGTCAGATTGATTTTTTTTCAAAAGTTTCTTTAAAACCTGAGCTAGTTTACCTCAACGTTTCATAAGTAATATACAATATTCATATTGTATATATTACTTAAACAATGTGTATTCTGACTCTTACTGGAGTATAATCTTTCTTTTTTGTTTTGCCTGCCTTTCTTAGCTTTTTCACCAAATTGCAATCTTGGTTCCAACAAGAATGCATTTCTACTTGTAAAATTTTAGGCTTGTAGATGACAGATAACAAAATATTGGTTAACTTACAGCCAATATTATTCAATATCAACAGGTCCTTGATAGTCTAGGGTTATATATGACTGATGATCAGTTTCGCATTCTAAGTGCAAGGTAAGATCACAATATTCAATGAGGTCAACACTAATTTGGTTGTAGAATTACATGTGATATTTTTCATAAATAGACTGGGATTCCATAAAGGCAAGTTATCATACAGGGACTTCGTTGATCACTTCCAAGACAGACGGTCATTTGGTATTGGTGAAAGAGCACCTGAATACCCCAAGAAAAGGTATAAACAATTGGATCAAAATTGAATCAAGATCTTTGAATGAAGAGCTTTTGCATCTTAATCCCAAATTTGGGAATAATGAGTATATGGAAAGTTGCTTATTCTGGATTTCTGTTGACAGGCATAATCAACCAATACCTCTGGAAGAGTCCATGACAGCAGAAGAAGTGGAGGCCAAACTCAAAGCAAAGATACAGGATGGATTTCTTGTTAGTATTACACGTCATAAAAAGTCTTTTTAATAATTGTGATATATTCTACTTATTAGCTACTTATCATCTCATTCCATCTGTATTTCCATTCACTTGCTTGAGATTACTAGTAGATACATAAGAAAATGTTGCATAACAGCTGAAATTCCAGCTTCTCCTCTGTTATTATGTTTCTTTTGAGAGCAATGCAACAATATAGACCAAGACTATAGTGTGATATAACAAGATCAGCAAAGATTTTAATCCTTTTTGTGACCTTATGTCAGTGACAGTGTGCTGTTGTGTTGACTTAGTGGACCAACCTTTWGCAACATACTGCATTCAGAATGCATATAAAGTGATTGATCAATTTAATTAATCATTTATCTTGTGTTTTCTTGTAGGATCTAAGAGTTGCCTTCAAGAAAATTGACTCTGATAAAAATGGACTTATCACAAGGCGTGAGCTCAGGYATATTTTGGATTCACTCATGTTTATCCTATCGGATGGGGAGTTTGAAAAATTAATGGCACGACTTGATATGAAGAAAGGGGATAAGCTCAACTATAGAGACTTCTTAAAGAGATTTGAACATGTAGAGAAGATTGAAGAAGGACATCCATGGCTTTACTCCAATCACTTGTGAGTAAACAATGTTTTTTTAATATTGTACTGTTGGTAGGTTAGATATAGTATTGAGCACATATATCTACGCATACTGCCCTGAGTAATGTCTGTATGCATGTCTTTCRCTGGTGTAGAGACCAAGCAGACTGCATGACTGCCACTGTTAGCATAAAATCAATGATAGCACACAACTGATGTCTGCGTAAGGGATCCTTTGACAGAAAAAAAAAAGATAATTATATTGGATAGTACTTGTTTGCTTGACATGTAGAGTAAGACTTTAATGTTGTTCATAGAATGATGAAGAAGAGATTGATTGATTGATTGATTTCTTACCTGGGAGGGTGACTAGAACATCCCAAAATCATGAACTAAGATAATTTACAGTGTTAGTAATAAAGAGCTATCTTGTTTTGTTTTCAGTTTTAATGAAACTAAGGATCTTCAATACCTTAGTGCAGATGAAGCAGATCGTTTGATAAAGAGAAARGCTCTAGAACAACAGGATGATCTAACAAGGGCTTTTCTTGCCTTTGACCGTGATGGGAACGGTATTGTAACCAAGAAAGAACTAAGAAAAGTTCTTTACAAATATCAGATCCCAGTCAACAAAGAAGAGTTTAAAAAACTTTGGGCCAAGTAAGTAATGTCATGTTATTGTTACCAACTCCTTAAGTGCTTACAGCAGTAACACCACACTACCACTGATCTGATCCATGCCCTAATCTTGTTAAAAAACTGTTATGGGTTACTCATGACAAGCACTTTTAGTTTTTTAGATTAATGATGACAAGTTTATGGTTTTTAAAAATTTGAAATATCATCTCCCTGTAGACTGAATGCTATAATTATATTATCCAAAAATTACTGGCATTATTATATATTTAGTGTACAGTATCATCTCTAGCTTATGTTAAATATAACATACTGGTATATACTGTGATTACATAAGTATACTTGTCGAATACTTTGAAGTTGACATCAGGATTCCTTGAATTACTACAATGTTGTGAACAGTTGTCATAAAAAACGTGAATAAAAATATGTGACATAAAAACGGTGAATAAAAATAAGTCAGAAGCTGCTATTTAACAATGTCTTACATCTAAATACGTTTATATGTAGATATGATACAGACAATAATGGCTATGTGGACCATCAAGAATTTATTGCTCGTCTTGGAGGAGAGTTTGTCCCTGGTGATTTTAATGGTCCTAGCACCCAAATCACTCATGGCAGTTACAGTGAGATGAAAAGATTTCAAGAGGCCCAACAGGTAACAATCTTATTGACTTATTAATGTAATCAAACTACAGGAAATACTCTTATTTCGAGTTCTGGTTTGCTCTGTGTTAGCCTCAAAACCAAGTAACATATTCTTTTGTTT